GGACATGAAATACTTGTCCTGGTAGTAGTGTATTTAGTGAAAAGTGTTTGTACACTGCGTGAGGTATCACAGGTAACACTGATACCAAATGCATACAAGTAAGTAGAAGTGAACGGTGGAGAGTCAGATAATGGGTCCACCTAATTCACCAAAGGGCCGGATACTTAAAATAAACAAAGAACCGTTTAGTGTTGGTAAACTCTCTACACACACTGTATGCTTGCATTTACACCCTGCCTATACTTCCTATAGCACAGTAATCTCTAGTAGTGGATGACTTGTTCACTGTGGTCCTGTACTCCACTCCCCCACTGTCTGATGCACTGTGATAGCCCTTAATGAGGATGAAAAATAAGTCACCTGTAGAAAAGGTCAAAGACCAAAAAAAAAAAAAAAAAAAAAAAAAAAAAAAAAAAAAAAAAAAAAAAGTATATCTGCACTTCACTGGCACCATCAAAGCAAGCCTCAAAAAACTGGAAATTAACAATGCAAAAAACCAACAACTGAATTTTTGTGTTAAATTACAAATAGCAAGCATGGACCGCATGGGTCTTCAATCATTGATAAAAAAGTCCACCTACGTTCGTACTGTACATTTTTCTAGGTATGCATTACAGCGCCGAGTCTATAAACCGAGAGGAAATACAAGTTTCTCTCTTTTTTTTTTTTTTTTCTTTTTCTTAAATCAAACAAAACAAATATGAGGGCTCCTAAAGAAAACCAAACAGTATAATCATGGATGGATGGAGTTGTGATGGCAAAGTACAACTGGAAATGTCTCGATAAGAAATAGAAAGCAGAGATAAAGTCCTTACTATACCAGACATTCAGGGTTTTTTAGTTTAGTTTTTGTTACAGCAGTTCAGACTCAAGTAGGCTCCGCCATGAGAAAAGGAGCACTTCAACATGACAGACTCAAAAGCAATCAAATTATTAACACCTTCAAACCTGGTCCATAAATTAGATAAATAAAAAAAAAAAAATAAAAAAAAAAAATCTTTAATTACTCTTAAAATCATCTCGTCACCATACTGTGAAGATTTCTACCAGCCCTAGTTAATATAGTCTGGAGCCAGAGCGGTCGCAGTAGTAGAGAGGAACCTCTTTTCTCAGACTATTGCTCCTTCCCTTTCCTCTACACCGCTCAGCTCCGTGTAGTCAAGTGAACAAAATCCATAATCACAGTATTACTACTACCATAAATTCATAGGAAAGAACTGTATGCTAATGAAAGAAGTTGATTTTTTTTTGTAGATTTTTTTTTTGTTTGTTTTGCCAAAGATGGTGTACCACAGAGCGTTTTTTTGTACAGGAGTGTTGTGTATATGTATTTACAAACGAATACACACAAACAACGTTTGCAGACCTCAGAGTGCGTTTTCTGTGAAAGGATCATAACCCCCTCCCCCCCCCTCACTCACTCAACAGCAAGCAATCTATATATAAACAAAGTGACTATACAGTAAAAAAACAAAAAAAAAAAAAAACAGAAACACATCCTGATGTGATGTCACAGTCAGGAAGTGTGTCTGATTGGACGGCTGAGTGACGCAGGTGTGACGTCATCAGAGATGTGACCGCATGGATTCCATCCACACCACAGCACTGTGGTGTGGTGGGCGTGTTTAATTTACAGCTTGTGTTTTGTTGAATAAGCTACTTGCAGCCCGAGCTGCAGATGTGCTCCGTGGGCTGATCAACACTGATGACATCACGCTCCCCTCCACATCTGCTTCCGCCAATCGGAGCAGAGCCCATGTCGAAAGCAGGGTCCTCTCACCCGCTACTAGTGTTTTTGTAATAAGGGTGTGGGGGGTGTAATCAGTGGAGCCAGATGCTGTGATGGTCACATGGACGATTGTCCCTGTGAATCCACACAGAAAACATCTGGAGGGGGGAAGCAATGCGATTAACTTAAAAAAAAAAACAAATGCCACAAAAATCTTTAAAGGATACTTATGTCAAGTAAAAATTCTGGTTGCTTCTTTTTTTTTTAAGACGTCTTTGTTTTGCAAAGTTTAAAAGTTGTAATAGATTTTCTTTACGAATTCTTATCACCATTCCTTTGAGTCATCATTTGTTAAATCGAAGAAGACATAGCAACAAATTTCTATCATTAAAAACATTTTTTTCTTTTTAGAACTCAGCAATTAAGAGATTTTGATTAGCTATGTCTTGCCCTCTCGTGCTTTTAACTTAAGTGTGTTTATTAATGCATTTATTTCATAATATATATATATTTTTTGCGATTGTGATGCTGACACTGGTGGGTACATTCATAGATGCTAGATGGAGACAGAATCCTCGGCCCCGTCCCCTAGTGTCCGGTGTGAGGCTTCACTTTCTGTCCAAGTCACTCTGTCTCAAGAAGCATGATGCCACCCACTGGTTCCTAGTTGGTTTCAGGAGATACAGCACTCGCTTCCTTCCACACCGATAGGAGCTCACAAAGGACACGACAGAGGATCTCATCTCACACTGCTGAGGGTCAACTCCGGAGGGCCAAAGGGGTTCGATGCCGCTATTCACCAATACACAGCTCCTCGCTCCTCAATGCTGCCCCAAATACACACACAAACACGTACCACACCCACACACACACACACAAACACCAAAGTCCCCTTCAGTCACTGTACAGTCCTTGTGAAAAGTTTGTGTGCCAGATAAAAAGTGCCAGAGCCAGCAGCCGAGGCCAAATCTGACACACGGAGCAGCTTTGGGAGGAGCGGGTACTCTGACACAACAAACTGCCCGAGCGACGGAGGAAGAGGTCGAGCTTTGGTGAAAGAGGAGGGGCGGCGTTTGCAGGTGGGAGGATTTGTGAATGTACTGTACTGGAAAAAAAAGAAGGAAGGGTTCTGTTAGTGAGCGTGTGTGTGTGTGTGAAAGCCGACATGGTGTGCTGTGTAATGCATGTGAACTTGAGCGCACACTCCCAAAGAGGTGTGCTTTTGTGCAATGGGGGAGGAGATGTGACGTTGTCATAGGTGGGCCCTCACACCAGATTGTACTCTTTGAGGTTGAGCTGTAGGATGGTGTCTTTGACAGCTGCAAACACAAAGCGGATGTTCTCCGTGTCCGTGGCACAAGTAAAGTGAGAGTAGATGATCTTATCGCTGTCTGGGTTTAAGTCCACAAACATCTTGAGAATGAACTCCCGTGCTGCCTGTGCATCTCTCTGGGGACCTGGGAAACAGACAGACAAGCACATACAAAAATTGTTTATATCATTATTATAAACCGAGCGCAAAAAGGAGTGGGTCAGCAATTTGGGAAATGCGTGTATTCCTGATGGATACAAGTCTGTGCATGTAGTATTGAGCTTTAGACGGGAGGGGTAGCGTAGCATAATGACCGAGAAACGGCTTACATGACCAGAAAAATACTACTGTGGTGTTCCCTTCTTGCCATTGAATACCCGGTTGTCTCTGGTAAGGCCTTCCATTGGTGGCGTTGTTGCAAATGGTCAGCAATGCAAATATGTCGTTTAAAAAGCCCTACTTTACCCAATAAAACCTGGAAAGCAGTGGATGTCTTGTAGCCCCATAATCTTGTAGGCCTATATTGCGTATTTAATCTGTGTAAGACTTCATTAAAAGTGGAAGCGTCTTCATTATTTTTCTTGCAGTTTTGAATAACACATTCACATTAGCTCCATCTAAGGGGGCGGCATCCGACAGTCCATTGCTAGATTGGTCAACATACACACACACACACACACCAACGTGTAGATGATCTCACCATCAAACTCTGGGAAATAGTCCACCAAGTGTGAGTAGGAGATTTTCTCCTCTAGCAGGTCCTTCTTGTTGAGGAAGAGGATGACGGAGGAGTTTTGAAACCACGGATAGGTAATGATAGTCCTGAACAAAGCTTTACTCTCCTCCATGCGGTTCTGGTGCAGAGAGCAGGGGAACAGTGAGAAAAGTCATATGTTTTAGTTTAAATTGACTCATCTCATTGAGTATGCATTTCAACACAAATTATTTTCATGCTGCCTGTGTGTGTGTGTGTGTGTGTGTGTGTGTGTGTGTGGAGAACACTGGGCCTCATTCACCAATATTTTCAAGGTTTTTCTTGAATTTTGTCTTCAGACGGTTAGATAAGTCTAAATCATGACGTGCTCTTGTAATGATAAATCCTATTGTAAACTGAAACGTGTGCATGCGTAAAAGCCCCGCTAATCCACATATAGGGGCATGAGACTACAGGGCTGTGTGCACACAAAAACTGAAAGGAAAAGTTGAGAAGATTCAGTCAAGAATGCCTAAATGAAACTGTAATAAAGGTGGAGCACCAGACTCCAAATGTAAAAAAAACAAATTCAATAGTTCTGACGAATGGTTGGTGAATGAGGCCTATTGTGTTTTAGCAACATTGGGTGTTTTTTTCTTGCGTATTAACTGAATGGTCAAGGTACTTTGATGTCCACCTACCTCATTGTCGGACTCCACCAGGACCTGGTCGTACTCACTCAGCGCCACAAGAAACATGATGGAGGTGACATTCTCAAAGCAGTGAATCCACTTCCTCCTCTCTGACCTCTGACCTCCGACATCCACCATCCTGACGGCAGGATGAAGGTGAAGAGGAAGAGGACAAGTGAAGAATCAAGAAGGGGAAAAAAATATTAGCATGTATTTCTTGATGGTTCATGTTCTCATTACCCTCAATGTCTGGTAAAGGCTGAAAGGACGGTACTTTTAAAAACGTTCTTAAAGGGAGATGTTGAATCCATCAAGATGTATTTACTTGTGATAAAACTTTACAATAGAGGAACACACTTGTTTCAGGTCCTGAAGTCATTCTCTGGTGTACGTCTTCCTAAAACCGTTTCAGCACATGACCCAAATAAAGATATAGCCTCTCATCCTGGGACCAATGAAAGCCATAACCCGTTTTTACTATCATTTATTTTTGGGTGCCGATATATCGTGTAAAAAACAATAAAAATAGAGGCCATCGTGCAATCCTAATAATGATATTTCAAGCCAACTAGTTTGGGGAAAAAACAAGACTTGATGGGTTCAACACCTTAAGAAGAGATTTAATCCTATTCACAAGTTCTTGTCTATGTGTTTTAAAGGGTTTCAGAGCAAACGTGAGCAGATCTCTACATTTGACAAGGAACTAAACAAACAGTGTAGCACAGTGTGAATATGCTTTTGTCCTTGTAAATAGGCGAGTCATGCATGCCACCACAAAGATAAAAGCTTCCCGTTTGACACAGATCTAGGATCAGTTTCACAACCAATGCCACTCAGTTTCGGAAATTGTGTTACTTTCATCATTTGTCAAAAGTGCAGTCACAATGTCTGAGCAGAAGCAGACAAACTGCGGGATCAGAAACTACAGAAATGTTTGTAATGATCGGTCCTTATTGGATCTTCCCCGCAGATGACGAATGAGAATCTATGGTTGTACAGTGAAGATAGAAGCACTGCAATACACAGGTAGCTGTGTAGCAGATTGTCTATCTGGTTGTGCATCTTATCTCAGAAGGAAAGAAATATTCTTGCTGGAAGTCTTAAACTGAGAGGCATACATTACATCCGATACTAGATCAGTCTCTACTTCTGTTTATGCGCTACTGTGAAAGTGAAAAGGTCAGAATGCATTCATTTCTCTACTCGATAGCTTTCTCAACCTCCCCTGGTGTGTGTGATAAAGCACCACACACAGACAATTTGTGAAGTTTTGAAACGCACTTGGAGGACAAATGGGGAAACGGGAGGAACAATGAAATGAAGGACATAGATGATATGGAGAGGGGCACAGGAAGAAAAGATAGATAGGAGGCAGAGTTGAAATGTTGATGTAAGATACAGAGGGCACCTCTGGTGGTGGGATCCTTTTCATGGTAGGACGCCTCCTAGGTAACCGAATGACAAACTACAAGCTGAGAAAATTACATCACAAGTCGAATGATATATACGTTGGATGTATGACTTCAGCACATGTGCGTGCAGGCCGACAAGCTGGCATTTGTTGAAGCCGTTCAGTAAGAGCAGCCCTAAAGCTGACGGATGTGTGAATCCTCGTGAGGTTTCTGCTTCCCTGAGCTTCTCCTTGACACGGTCACCCTTCACTCGTCAGGGAGTTCAGGTCCCAGTTTCATTAAGCCTTCATTTGTGACGACCGATTCAGTAAAATCTTTCCGGTCAAAAACCTTTGATGTCGAGCCATCATACAAACGGCATCGGTACAACTTTAGGCTGAGCTTCCTGTACTTTGTTGGGCCTCTGGACACACAGGCGCAAACCTCAAGACCAGGTGAGCCATGGTCTCCTGAGAGAGCTGCACAAATCCAATATAAATTCACAAGACAAGGGTGCCCCCTGGTGGTGGCCCAGTCCACCGGGGTCCACAGAGACCCAGGGCCAATATAGGCCCTGCAGGACCTGCTGCCCAAAATAACATTCCTCTACCGCGGAGAGGACGACCTCGTTTCTTCTGCCAGTCGGCGAGAGGAGGAGGAAGAGAGGAGGTGACCCATTTACAGAGACCGGGCACCAGAATGTAGGACTGTGTGTTCGTCAGGGGGCTGTGTGATATGTGTGCGGTTTGTGGCAGGAGGTAAAAGAAAATGTAGGACGTAAAATGGTTATGACTTTAATTTCTATGATTGCAGGGGAAGGGTTGAGGAGTAAGAATGGGATACAGACACTCATCAATGCATCAGTTAAAAGTCACAGGTTATAAGTTCTTTCCAGTGATTTGGTGGACAAAAAAATCAAACATGGGTTTATTTGGCGTTTTGGACAAAAACACATCAGAGGACGTATGGGTTGATGATGAACAAGGAGAGACTGAGCCAAAACGGGCATCTTTCTACCTGAAAATGATGCTTTGCAAGTCGAATGGGTACTCTATGATTCCTGTAGTGGGGATGCGCACCCTGAGCACATCCTGCTGAGTGGGAAGATAGCTGGAATCTGCAATACGATCCAGATCGGAAAGATAACTACAGGCGGGCCGGTCGAGGAAAAAAAAAAAAGAGAGATGAAGAGAAAAAAAGACAGAAAAACAGTTATATAAAGCGGGACAAGCAATTACCGCAACCCCCCCCCTGCAATTCCAGGAAGTGTGGATCAGTCCTGTTGAGGAAGCTTCACAGAAAAGGCCACATCTCAGAAACATAGGGTGTTAGTTAGTGTCACTGCTCCACCAACACTGTATCCAAAAAAACAACAACAACACAAGACTTTTGATGTCAGCTAGTAAAAGAACTAAACTAAAGGCTTGCAACCGCAGCCTTTAGTTTACTTGACTTCCCCCACCCCCAAGTACTTTCGTGGCTTATGTTGCAGACAGTGTGGTGGCATCAGTGACAGTAGGAGCAGTGTTTCAGCAGCACATACGGCAGCACTTGGATTAGATAAAGAAGGTTTGGACAAGTATGACATCAAGGATAGCAGGAAGCATATTCCATACCATATCAATTCGTAATTTCATTTTAAAAAGTTCAAATTCTTTTGTTTTTAAAACTGTGCCCAGATTTGATATGAACTTCCTGGTGAATCTTTGGCATCACTCACCCTTCTTCATCTAGTGTTCAGTGGCTGCTCTCCAAACGCTACAGTGCAACATGTCCGGCCTTCGTTTTGTTCCTGGAGCCAGAACATTAGCACAGTTCTGAACACAAACCACTGATATCTAATCAGGTTGACTAACACAACATCATCTGTATTTTTCTCTACAGGACAACTTGGTCTATTTAGCCAAATAAGTACGAGCTTTCCCCATACAGTTGTAATGCGAGGACATTTTGTTTTTTAGGGTACAATTTACAAAAGCCTTGCCCCTGTTTCACTAATGTGTTAGTATCCTGACAGTGATCAGTGGTTTCTGTCCTCTAGCCACGGTGATGCTGCAGTCCTGGTGCCATGGGGGTACCTGAAGATGCAGTTCTCCAGGTCAAACGGGTACTCTATTATACCCGTGGTGGGTACACGGACCCTCAGCACATCCTGCTGGGTGGGAACGTATCCCTCTGCAGTCACACGGTCTATATCGCTAAGGTAACTGGAGATGAACAGTATGGACAACACTGAAATGAAGTCAGATTCAATGATTTTCTTCTCTTCCTCACATACACACTACACATCAAAAACAAATGGATAGCTAACGTATTTACCATAACATACACATTCCCAACAAAGCAGGCACACCTGCATGCACACTGACATGAAGCATCATTAATCTGTAGTACAGCAAATCAACAACCAGGGGGCCCGGTGAGTTACGTGCCTTTTGATATTTAGCCTGGGGTCACAGAATATTAGGACGTAATTATGGAAAATACACACAACAGGAGGCTGACACATTTGGCTACAAGGTGGAAGCACAATAATTGTACACCGGGGGGGCAAGTGTATCTCTTACTACTGGCATTCAGACATTTAAAATCAATCATGGTGAAATGACTTCAAAGTCACTGTTTTACTCTCTTTCAGCTAGATGAGACAGCATGAACTAAAGTAATGATCGAACATTTACCATATAGTGTGGATAAACATCTATGGTGGACTATAACCAACATTTAAAACACCCGCTTTTATAGCTGTGGCTTGTCAATTTTTTCATATCGGGTTGTTAAATCGTGAACTAGGCTGCTGAATTTTGCGATACGTCAGCTGTATGCGGACAAAAGGCTTACAAGGTAATTATACACAGGTAGTTACACACAACCTGCAACCAAAAACACAACCAAACACACACTTAATACTCTAAAAACTGGTGTCCTGATCTCTGGTCTGGAGACAACTCTGTCTCCCTGCCGTACAAGAAATGAAAGGGTCAATTTATTCTGCAACTTACCTCAGGTGTTATCTAGCTAAGCAGATGGATTTAGTTAACGACAAGTAAAAATTGTAAGTAATAGGTTTAAAAAAATGAAACAGCTTCAAGTCTGTACAGAAACAATGTGAGCAAGTTAACTGTCACATTAATTATAGCACACCTCCATACTTTAAATCCTGGACGTGTATGCGGTTGCCACAAACACACCAACAACGCTTTTCCACATAATCCATTACGTGGACAAAGTTAAACCAGACAGAGACTGTTGTACATAGGTTTGGGAACAGAGACATTATTGTTGTATAACTAGAGAATCAATTACATTGTAAATTTGCAAAAGAATCTGCATCAGTTCCCAAACCAGCATCACAGATATACACTTAACTCAGTCACACGTATAGCATTCTTAAATCCTGGATTTCTACACACAGACACACAAAGAGAGAAACTGACGTACTATTTAGTGGAGTCAGAGAGCTGGTACTCTCTGCGGCGGTCATAGGCCTCCTGGATCCCTGGGTCGGACCACAGGCTTTTGATAGCTGCGATGAAGTGATAGTCAAACCCATTGATCTTCTCAATGTCCACCTCCTTCACAAGCATGGCGTTGGACTGAAAAAAACACAAGCAATGGAAAAAAAGTTGAGATAAATCGAGATGTAAGACAATGATGAACTTGTTACTGAAGATATTTGTAGGTAACTTACTTTATTGTCCGTTTGGACCTGGTGGCTGATGACCCACATATTCTACTTATTCTACAAAATTAAGGTTTCTTCAAGACAAATTCAATATTTGCATATCTTCTTGTGCAACTGAACATTTTTCCTAGGAATGAAACGCAGTTGGTCTAACTGGGAAAACAACAGATGAAGAGGTTGTAGGATGATGAATAGCAGTAGCTCCCATCAACTTTGCTATTTTTGTTTGTTTGTTTATTACTGGAGCACAGACCCTGAGACGATCTCTGCCAGATCTGCCGTACCAAAATGCCATCAAAAGTGGAGATGACTCAGGAAGAGAGAGATGAGAGCTGAGGACAAAGCTAAGCTAACCCAGCTAGGACCTAATGCTATTCCACTACCCGGCCTACGCTGATGTCCGGACAGCAGGACAGAGCGCTGGACCCCGCTGGGACGAGAGGTGGGGGCCTCTGTGTTTACGTCAATGATTGTTGGTGCTCAAACACAGAGTTGATGTCGAATCTTTAACGTTAAGATGCCTAGAGAAGGTTTATCCATGTGAAGAGTAACAGACATGATGGACATTAGACAATGGCCATACTGTAAATGTATAATGCACAACAGACATGCGATGAGGAGGAGAAAGAGAAACAACTTTAGTGGGACACGACCATGACATGTCTATCCAAAGAGGCACAACATCCTTGTTTCCCCACATACGTTCATACCCTACCTACTATTATACGTTTTCATAGCTGTGACTTGATATTAGATACGTGAGACAGAAATGAATACTTTTCTTAACTTTACAGTGTTTTTAGAAAGGTCTTTACAGCACTTACTAATATATACACACACACACACAATATTACTGTGATCCAACTATATGGGCCCATTGTGCTGTATCCGTAGAAATAGAATTGGAGTAGAATGGACATTGTTTGCAGAAGTCATTTGCCTAAAATAAAATGGTGATTGTTATACACACAATCAGTGGGGCTGTATGTGTGTGTCACACAATATTGCTCCGCCCCTAAGCCGGCAGTGGAGATAGTCACAGAGCCAATCAACGTCTGTTCAGGCCAATTAACACTTTTCTTACTTATAAAAAAGTGCAAAGTGTGGATTACATTCACCTTGCATTCCAGGTGTAAATGAGTCTTCAATTGGAGGTTCACAATAAGGACTGGAATTAAGAACTACAGTAGCATACAACAATAGACTATGTAGTTGTATTGTTCACACACCATCGCTAACTAGTTTCAGTTATTTTAATGTATGTACAAATCAAACTGATGCCTCTGGTACCGAGAAATTAAGCGGAAATACCATAAATATATCTCCGTTAATGGCAACAATTCAGGGGGTGAATTTGTCTATAACTTGCCCGTTTATATTATATTAAGACTTTAGGCATGTTGCTCTCCCACAGGTCTCTCGCTCTTTTCTCCCCGTTAAAGGGTTTTTCCTGTTCCGGTGTGAGGGTTCCGGGACAGAGGATGTCGCACGTGTACAGATTGTAAAGCCCTCTGAGGTAAATTTGTAATTTGTGGCTATACAAAAATAAATTGAATTGAGGGCGTGGCTGCTTTGAGTGACAGGTGGGTGCTGTCTTAGGTCCATATTCTATAGTACAAAATACTCAATTATCATATCTGAAGCGGACTTCATCACTGGTTGACGTGGCTGGGGCTTGCTTAAAATATAAATGATTTCTGATCGCTGTGGTCTTTCACTACACACCATCCCAGTGGAAGTTTAGAAATCACACCTTTCAAATAACCAAAGGCGACTCTGGAACAAATGACCGTTAGGATATTTTCTTATTACCGAGTCAGTCCTTACCCGATTCTGTTCAAACTTGTAGGGGATCTTAAGGGTCTCAGTGGCGCGGATCATGGCCTGCATGGAGGTGAAGATGTTCTGGTAAACAAGCCGGATGAAGCCTCTCTTATCTTCGTCTGAGTACCCAGCTCCGTGAATGATTCTCATCTGCTTGATGAAGGTGCTCTTGCCACTTTCTCCGGTACCTGAACAGAACAAGGGAGGCAAATAGTTAATATAGGTAGAAATGCAGCAAACTTACGGTGTGGGCATAGTGAGACGGCACGGCAAAGGCCTGCGTAGTCATGTTTAAGACGTAATACACTCTAAACACACACAGTACAGTCTTATATCAAGGATACAAAACATCTAAACAAAATACTACACTTTATAAGCCCAGTGAAGTCACTTTCCAATCATCTATGCATCAACTGTCAAAAAGTGGTAAAAAAGTCAGCACAGCATAAGACTTTATACACCAGAAGCAGTACGACGGTGCTTCTGACGATAGAACATTGGCAACCATTTTGAGAAATTGGCAACCTGTTCTTGGCGCGCGCGCATATACACACACACACACACACACACACACACACACACACACACACACACATATACATATACACATACATATACACATACATATACACACATACACATACATATACATACACACACATATATATAAAAATAGGAACAGCACATAGCAATCGTGCACCCCGCTATAAATAAATGTGTCGCATTAGTGACGTTTGGCATTTACTCACGTGTGCGTATAGGCATCTGTTTTAGAGATAAAACGTTAAAAAGCAAACTACAAAGAATTTATTTACTGTAATAAAACCGTTAAGCCAACTAATGACCTGAACTTTATGGTAATCCTGGATTTTTATACAAAAAAAAAAAAACACATTTTCTGTGTATTATACATCCATATACAACCAAGAGAACATTTACTAGATCACAATATTCAATTAAAAATCACATTTCCCGTGATCAGGATTATATTTGTATTGCTCACTCCACTTAAGCGCTAGAGCCCCTTCCCTTCCAATTAGTGGACAACTGATTTTGAAATCAGATTGCTCATTTGTGCAAAAGACGATCACAACAACCTCAAGTCTGCGATCTAAGACGGATGATCCACGAAAAGGCAAAAATCGCAGAAAACTTTGATGCCAGCTGAAGAAATCCAAGAACATGCTGCAGCCCGTTTGTGTATCTGATGTTTTATTAGTGTTCATTCATTACCAGCATAAGCCGGTAAAAATTAAGTAATGGTCTGAAAATGTGGTGCTCATCTAAGTCAGTTTTACACGTTATAAAAATCCTTCTACAGAAATTCCAAATATATTAACTAAAGCTGGTTACGAGCGCTTATATTTCAAAACGTCAGGATGTTATCGCACAGTTTGGAGAGTGAATGAATCAACAATGTTTCCAGGAAGAAGAGGAGAGAAGAGTGTGGGGGTGGGTGGGTGGGGGGGGGAATACAAGCTAATTTGATGAATATGACGAAGACGACGTGCCCTACATTTAGTATCTAGCACTGAACTGCCTCTGCCGAAAGGTGACAGCAGGGGTCGTTGTCAAAAGGCTGCATTCCTTCAGTGATCCTCCTCTGGACTCCTGAGCCCATATCTGGCTGGAAGATCATCACTTTGAGTGGCGTCAGGTTTCCAGATTCACACATATGGTAAGGAGCCCGAGAAGAGGCTTTGGAAGACAGGCATGTGCTTATAAAGATTTATTCTGCATCTACCAAAACACCCTGAAATTCAGTGGAAAAATGAATAATCTCTGCATCGAGTAAAAACGCACGTTTTCAAGCTTTTCAAGACCGACGGTGATTGCCAAAAATAATCCCCCACTTGGCTTGGTGTGTTGGGTCTAACCGAACATTTCACACTAGCCCTCTATGTTCTACATGCCCAGAAACACAACCCTCCGGCCACACACACAAAATAAAAAAGGAGACCAAGAAGAAAAAAAAAAAGCTGATGAGTGAAATCAAAAAAGGGATCCAGCACATCTATAATATCTGCAGAAATTAAAGGGAAAGACGAGGAGGAAAACACACACACACACACACACACTCATCTCAACACCACCTACATTCAAGGTTTTTGAAGCGCAGCCATATTTCCGTTACCATAGCAACCCCTCTGTCTCCCTCTCTTTTTAGTTCCTGTGTTTTTTATTTTTTTTAAACCCCTCCTATCCACCCCTTCTCTCTCTCTCTCGTAGCAGACAGTAAATATAACTGCGAGCCCCTCAGGCCTGCTGTGCTCTTCCATCGTTTTGTGCACCACAGAAGAAGGGCCTCGGCTCCACAGAGAGACTTTTGGGGGTGGGCTGGTGTGAGGTCAGTACCGGGGGGGGGGGGGGGCTTAATCTCACATACAAAAAGGGGAAATGACCCTCAATCTCTTCCAACAAAATGCCCAATTTTGGAGAACAGAGACTAGATAGACTGTGATTCACTAAAGAGATCTTTATCGTTTCTCATGGGTGAATCAATGCTTTGCAGAAGGAGCGAATAAAATCTGTGATCGCCAAGCTAACGAAAAGGAGCATGGAGAGCATTTTCTTTGTATTGCGCTGCGGCACTAATGTCCCGGTAGTGAGCAAGAGGATCGCTCTCCAGCTTGATGTCTGATTTATTTCTCGTGACCCCGTCACAAGATCTCCCTCTGCTGTGTTCTCTTTAAGTATCATGTCCCTCTTTCACCAGACAACACACTACGAGCCTCTGTCTTCCCTTTTTTCCTCCCGAGATTGTACCAGCACCAGCCACAACCGTTAACATGCCCTCACCAGCTCTCCCCCACAAATACACTCTCTCTCTCCCTACCCCCTTTTTCACCACTCCTCCTAACCTCCCTTAGGCTAGAAATATGCCTCTCCATTCTCCTCCATCTCAGTCAAGAATTTTGGATATTCATAACTAGAATCCGTCCATTCTTTTTTGGATATGACCTAGAAAAAAGGGGTCACCTTTTAATAGCTCACACACTACTTGGGTTTGATAACGCTTTCTGTGCCAGGTAGGTACGAGTGTGAGATAGAGAGACAAAAGGAGCTCAGCTTGTGGCCCAGTGCAAGGTACACTACACAGCCCACACACAAACACTGCCTCTCGGATCAGAGCGAGAAGTCAGAATCAGGGGAAACCAAACAACAATGTGCATACAATTACAACTAGCTCTGAACAGCCTAACTAAGAAGAACTAGTGAAATGCCAACATTCTGTGGTTAGTAACAGCTATCCATCTTGTTAAGACGCCGCATACTTCACCTGTATCCTCCGTTGCCCCGCTAGCTTTCATAAGCCTTTACATAACGCAACTGATGTCAGCTTGTGACACAACACCTGATGGACTTGACACACCGCTGTCTTAGTGCAGCAGATTCGGTTGAGCCCAGGTCGTCCGTCTATCAGGATATGTCTGTGTGTGTGTGTGTGTGTGTGTGTGAGAAGGGCCTGCTTTGTTTGCACGGTCTGCTCATATCCCATCATTTTTTCTCATTGTGCATCCCCATGCAGTCCACAAAAGGCCTCATGCTCAAGCAGGGCAATCCCTGTTAAACCTGGCTTCCCTCTGCAATACCCGTCACAGCTTTCCTTTAACAAAGAGATGTGGATTATCGGCAACATGGCTAACCTGCATGTAAATTCACATAGACACATAACGGTCCATTGGTATGAACAGTGTTATCTTATCTGGGTTGATGAACGGCCCTTTTAGGCAGTGCTTGACAATCTAATCTCAGCGGTTAGAAGAAATTTGCATAGACACAGCAGAGGTTTAAGTATTATCAAAACCTCAAAATTGGCATCAGTCAGACATTGGCCTTTTATAGGAGCGCGCTGGAAAGATACTGTATGAATCAGGCAGTCACAAGGCTAACCGAAATGTAGCGTGGCTCTAAAATCCTTCACTAAATTCAACTTAGAAACTGGCCTCTTTCTGGCGTACAAAGGACAGGGATTGAGCCAAGGCAGCCCGGAGCTAGACAACACACACACCAGCTGCCTAACCAACTGTGGACACACACGGATCCTGTGGTCAACCTCAAGGCATGGATGTTACCTTCACTGTGATGGCCCATTTTCTTTCCCTTTTCCCTGCAATGACTTGGGCAACACACAGTACAGGACTCCAGCAAACACGCGCGAGCATAAAGACAACAGAAAGAGGACTCTCTCTCTCAGCTCTACTGCAGCTTTCCAACATGTGTTGCCTGCTGTCAGGATCTGGGCACAACTCCACTGCTTTGTGCCGATGTCTCTGCCGAGTGCTCCGTGTGCGTGGGTGTCACAGCTGTAAATTGAATATACTGTACATGGTATAGCCTGCACTGCACATTACACACACAAGTTCATCTGTCCACCTTAGGATAGCTTTTGTCTGTTCAACAGCGAGTATGCACCGAGTGCCGTTCTGGTCGAGTAGGTGTGGGTGAGCAAAAATAAAATAAAATACAGGCTTTACAAAAAGGTTTGGAGTAAGCGGCAGTATTTTAGTCTGCAATACACACTGTGCTGGACTGCTACAAACTAGAAACAGATGCCAGATCCTAGATGTTGACATTGTTTCTTAAGCCATGGCACTCATTTAAGAAAATCTCATCATGGAGATTATAATCACTCCGTGTCCACACTAGGGGTGACGAAAAAGTGGTGTTGATAATTACAACGAACATATTGCAAAAAGAAAAATATTTGTCGGTGACGCACAATATCATTAGAGCTCTTACTTTGCACTTTAAAAACCCGTGTTAATCGTTTCTCGTTAAATGCTAAATATAGGTGAAAAAAACAGTATCGGAGTACTTTTGTCTTCCCGTAAAACAATTATAAATGTCGCATGACTCATCCTGCACTCAGAGGCGTGTACAAAAATTGATCCAATCAAATGAGACCTCATCGTTTGTGGTCCGTAGTTAGCCGACAGAGCAATATGGAGAGAGATAGGAAGAGATGTGTGTTTAGAATTTGATCCTCAATTAGCTGGGTCTATGTTATGATGCACAACAAGGATATGTGGCAATATTTTCATGGGGGCAGTAAACAAGCCAAAGCTTGGGCTTTTGTCGCTCATGTGATGAATTACAGGAAATGACGCCATCTCCTTGGTCTCTGGAGTAAACGTTTGAAAAGTGTCGGCGGCAAAGGCGAACAATACAACAGAGAAAAGCGTAG